TTAAATATACAAAATCGATCTACTTGACGTCACGGACCTACCTAAATTGACAGAAAGCATATTGGAGGTTTAACGCGTTGCCACGCACCGGCTAAGGCACAACCATATGCGCCACCACGCGCAGGCAGGGCCCTAACTTCAGTCAGAAATAGTCCGTCAGTTTGACAGAATATTTTGTTAAATAACTAACAGATTTTAATGATGTTACATGACGCCGTTAGAATATTCCATCAACTTTGATGGAATATTCTGTCGTCTTCTCTGATGGTCCTTGTCGGTCGTCGCTGTCAGCCATCGTCTGGGTTCTCCAGTTTCTGGGTAAAATTTCAAAGCTTAATAACTTGCTCATTTCTTAACCATTTTTTCACAAAATTTATATGGAAATGAGGCTTATGAAAAGTAGAACAAGATTGTACCTTCCAAAAGTCCAAAAATGGATGGGAAGTGGCTTGAAAATGGCTCGAATGGTTCGGCCAAAAACTTGACTCCTCGAAATCGTGTGTTTCAGCGTCAACGCTTCTCCAAACCTAGTCTATGACCCTTAGGAAGTTGTGTACGAGCTTCCTTAACCTTCAAAGCCCTGTGACAACTCTATGAACCAAAACTCATCGAGTCGGACCTTTAGAGTTGGTGAGTCAAAACTCAAACAAATCACAATCTGGTTACACGGTTGTGTTCGTGGAGTTGAGGGGAGTTCAATGGTGTAGGTTGCAAGTCACGTTTGAATGTTTTGAGGGTCGTTTGAGGGAGTTGCAGAGAGAAGAAGAGTTCTTAGGTTAGAGAAAGAGAAGGAGAGGAGAGAGAAAAGGAAAAGAGATTCATTTTGGTTGTGGGTGAAATGAAAGTGAAAACTGATTGGTGCCAAAAATTAGGGATGGTGCTTGATTGGTTGAGAGGGAAAGAAGGAAAAGAAAATTTGATTTGTTGGTGAAGAGGGAACACAGATCCATCAATCAAGAAATGGATGGATGGATTTTGTATAATTTTAAATGTACAAAATCTGTCCTCCTGACAGTGTCCCGACACTGTAAATTTGTATGCATGTGAGCAAATATACCCCATAGTTAACGTACTTTAATGGAGAATAGCTTTTTCGTTACAAATTCGTTTCGGGTCTAACTCGCATCCATGCATTCATGAAGACGAGTACTATTTAAGTACAAAACCAGGAAGAAGAAACTGAAAGGTGAAAACCACGTCCACATCAGATTCCACTTTTGTCCAAAAAGGGTAAAATCATCAACTCACACCAACATAAAAGAAATCACAGTGAAAAGTAGGGACAGGTCGTCACATAGACTCCACAAAAAGGTAAAAAAAAATTATTAAATGACATTTATTACTTAACATATGAGGTGGAGCAAAATATTGTGCAAAATATCAAATTGCCACATAAGCCATCAAATATCATTTTGATGTTTAAAATTTGGTATCTCCTTTAGAGATGCTCTAAGATGTTAATCTTGGATTGACGGAGTCAAAAAACATCTTGATTGATTTGGATTGTTAATAAATCAAAGAACGAAAAGAAGAATACAAGTTAATTTCAAACTCAAATTCTTCTATTGACAAAAATAAAGAGGAAGATTCCAAATTGTCCAAACGGGTACACAAGCAAAAGGATATCTTCCCAAAACTTCAATTTTCTTATTAAGTAACATAAGTTGTATTTATAAAGAGCCAATTTTGGACAAACAATAAGACAAGTGGTGGTTTGCTACCAACGGGTCCCACACACACCGATATTTCCCCCACTTTAGCAACTCGGGAGCAACAATTATGGGGTTTTGCCAAAAGGCCTCGGCAATATGTGTGTGTGGTACCATTCCTTATAAAGAACTAGATGCTCCTTTCACTAGCCGATGTGGGACTCTCAATTTGGCTCAAATCTAAGCTAAGAAACCCAACAAACTCTGCCTGGCATTATTTAAGCCATCTCCAAATTGGACTGTCACAATCCAAATTCAACTAGAGCTCCACCTTGACCACATGCACCAAATTTCGAATGAGTTCTTCAACTTCAACAATCATGAGTGTCACCAAACGTACTGTCACAATCCAAATTCAGATATAGCTTCGCCTTGACCACATGCACCAAATTTCGAATGAGTTCTTCAACTTCATCGATCGTGAGAGTCACCAATCATAAGCGTTGTCTGGGCTCTATACCAATTGTTATGCGGAAACACACCAATAGGTTCCATACATATAAGGTTGATATTGCCAATAGTCTCCCCACTTTAGCCACCCGAGAGCAACATGTATGGGGTTTTATAAAAACGTCTCAGTAATGTGTGTGTAGTGTTGAAATATCATACATTGACCGTATCGTTGAGAAAAGAAGAGCTTAAATATTATATCCTACTCCAACTAATACTAAGGTCTTTTGTGATAAAATCTCACACTTGACGGATTGTGCAGGTGCAAGTAATTAACAAGTTAGTGACAGTATCTGCGAGTTGGAAGTGGGCATTTAGCCCCTCTATCTGATAATTTCCACATGATATCAGAGTCAGTGAGTGAGCCCGTACTGCCACATAATAAGTGGGTCTCCTTGGCCCCAAGCGATGATGGTGGGTCCCTTAGTCCGGCTTGTAGGGTGAGTCCTCTTGGCTCCAAGTAGTTGTCGATTTGTGGATCTCATAAGGGGGAGTGTTAAAATATTAGGGACAATATCGATGTTATTGGACGTAGGTCTTTGGCCCATCTCTCTAATAGTTTCTATATGTGGTACCATTCCTTATAAACTACTAGATGCTCCTTTCACTAGTTGATGTGGGACTCTCAATTTGGCTCAAATCAAAGCCAACAAACCCAACTGTTAGGTCGGTCTTTCTCTTGAATCTATTGCATCCCAAATTTAAACATTTTCTCCCGTAGTGTAGATTAGTATTGTGTAACAAAAAAGAAAAGTAATGAACCATAAACCCTAAATAAAAGGGCAGAAATTTTAATTCTTATCCTACTGCAAAACTGTTATACTTAAATACCCTAATAAAACCTCATTTCGCTAACTTGCAAACTCTTCTAACATGAATAAGATAACTCGCTAGGTTCAAGGCATATTAAAGGGGGAAAAATTACAACTTCCAAATTGTTTCCAAGTTGAAGTTATAAGGTGAAATAGTAATGAAGGAAACTTACTGCTTCTAATCCCCATAAAAAATGGTTTAGAATTGGAAGGGGTAACTTTCCTTTATGACTACTTTATCTTAAATACCTTGAACACAATTTAAAAGTTGGCCTCTATTTCCTTTAATATATGCATGCCTTGATGTCAGCTAATCTTTTCTAACAATGCTGCCTAATTAGGATCAACCATCTAAAACACATTAAGAAAGCTTCAGCCTGAGAAAGCTTAAAAACTTCAACAGATAAGCTAATCCTACTATTAAGATTTCATTATCCTTTATCAAATTACAGGAAAAAACATTAAGCTGAGGTTCAGGGTGGAAGATTGCAATTCTCAAAGGGCAGATGAATGGACCAATTTCTGGGTGTTGTTTACGATAGGCAAATATATAATCCTGTTGGTTCTTGCAATAATTGTATTCTATATAGAAATTGGAGTTGGTTTTAGATACACACACACACACACACACACACAAATTAAGGGTATTCCTAAAGTTATCTTTTGATTTATTGTTACTTTCACTGTAATGTTCATACTGTTTTGTGTCATAGTCACCCTCTTCAAGGCTTGAAGGAAACATTTTATTGCTGATGCTACAAGCTAAGCACATAATATGTGTGAGGAACTTAATTATGTTGATTTTTTGTTTAAATGGTTTTGTCTAAGAATACAAGGAATCAATATATACTACAACAAATTCAGTCTAACAATTTCAATATAAGTCTGTCTAACAATCTTTGCCAATGTATAGATTGATAGAGAAGACTCCTGCCACAACTAGGTAGTACAACTTAAATAAAATAAAAACAGCTTTGGCAATTGGTATCAACTATTAAATGCAAAACAAAGCAAGTCTATTTTAAAAGAAAATTATATTATATATTTCATAATGAGTTCCCCAGTCTCACTCATTTATTTGGTAGAACATAATTAGAATATAACATCATATATTTTAATAAAACATGTTTTATTCATAATGAGTTTGAATAAGGATAATTGGAATGATTCATTCTCTTTTATTTATAACTGTCAATTTGTTCAACATCTATAGATGACTAAATTGTAATCGAAAGATTGTTTTCTAAAAACTCTTTAGATGATGATATAGAGAATAAACAGTTTAAATTATGACATTTTTACATAGAAATAACGTAATGTTAGTGAGGAAGGAAGAAAGTCTTTCCACGAAGGATGAAAGTATTATTCGTGACAACCAATTTGGTGATTGGTGTTGTAGTTTCATAGAGATGGGTTTCAACCCATCACTAATAGCATCGATATTGTTCTCACTTAATTACTCTGCAAGCAATAGTTATGGGGCTTTTATGCAAACAGACTCGACGCAATTAGAAATCGGATCATTTGATATAAGTTGTGATTTTTTTTTTGAGATGATCGATATGAGACTTTTCAACAATCAATATCAATGCAAAACAAAGCAAGTGAAAACAATATTAAAAAAGATTTGTAATGTCATATTCATAACGAGTTCCCAAGTCTCACTCATGTATTTGGTAGAACATAATTAGAAAACATTTCTAATTATAAATTTAAACATGTTTGATTTATTCATCATTAAGAATGTTACAGGCTGAATCAGGTATGTTGTCATCTTCAAAGACAGCTAATTATTTGAGAAAGGTTGCATATTTAAAGAGGTTACTTGAGAAGTGAAGCTAAATTGTACAAGGAAAAGCGACTTCAAGCTTGTAATTAGTTACGGGGTCAATACAAAAACCTATACCCACCAACTCCCCATTGTTTTCTTTTCTCCTCCCACCTCCCGCAGAATATAATATCAGTTTACAGCAAACTAAAATACATATAAACATGACAAAAACACATAAAATAATTCAAAATATTACATGCAAACAAACCACCAACTAAACAAGAGTTAAACATCTCTAAAACAACAATAAACAAATCATTTTTATTCTAATTTTTTTGTAATTTGATTTCTGGAATGCTAAGAGGGTGATTGTAAGGTCACCCTCAATTCCTTCATCCCACATTGCTTCAATTTTCTGCTTGCTTTTTCTACACATTAAAAATCATTCGCTCTCCAATATTATCCTCAGAAATTACTTGGTTTAGAAGAGTGAGGGAGAGTTAGAGAGAGAGCCTCAGATGATCAATTGCAGCACAAATTCCACTTGATAATCAACCTCTCTTTCTCTTTCTGTGATCACTGAAGAAATCAAAGTAAGATTCCCAAAAAATGAAGAACAATATCAACACAAAGCTGATCCTTCTCCACCCTTACATCCAAAAGCAAGGAAGCTCTAACCGCCTATGGCTTCTGGCCTTCATGTCACTATTCACACTCGCCTTCCTCCTCACAATCGTCTACACAAGCGGCTTATACGCGTACTCATCCACCAGCACCACTACAACAACCACAATCCCCGCCCCCACAATAACTGCCACTAACAACGCTGCCCCACAGCTCCCCACCACGGTCATCAACACCCTCCTCCACTACGCATCAAAATCCAACGACACGTTCAAAATGTCGTACGCAGACATCAAACCCATCTCTGACGCGCTCCGAAAATGCTCCACCCCATGCAACTTCCTCATTTTCGGACTCACCCATGAAACCCTACTCTGGAAAGCCCTAAACAACAATGGTCGCACCGTCTACATCGACGAGAACAGGTACTACGCCGCCTACATGGAGGAGAAGCACCCTGAAATCGACGCCTACGACGTGCAGTACACGACGAAGCTGAAGGAAACGGAGGAGCTGATCGCCGTGGCAAAAGAGCAAATACGCAACGAGTGCCGCCCGGTGCAGAATCTGCTTTTCTCCGAGTGCAAGCTGGGGATCAACGACCTGCCGAACCACGTGTACGAGGTCGAATGGGACGTGATCTTGGTGGACGGCCCCAGCAGCGGCTGGCCGGACGCGCCCGGGAGAGTGATGTCCATATTCACGTCGGGTGTGTTGGCGAGGAGCAAGAAGGGTGGGAACGGGAAGACGCAGGTGTTTGTGCATGACTTTGGCGGGACGGAGGTGATGGTTGCCGGGAACGAATTTTTGTGTCGTGAGAATTTGGTGGAGGCGACGGAGACGATGGGGCATTACGTGGTGGAGAGAATGGACGAGAGTAGCTTCCAGTTCTGTCGCAACCAAACGACGTCGGTTTGGTCAGCAGCAAAGAATTCCTCTGCTTCTTCTTCTTCAGCATCAGCTTAATTAGTGATTGATGGTGTTTGAATTTGGTGGTAATAATCATCATCATCATTCAGCAAGTGAATATTTATGGTGATTTTGGTTTTTTTTTTCTTTGGTCTTTTTGTTTTTTTTTTCATGGGTGGGGGTGTAAAAATAATTTTCTTTTTTGGCAATGCAAGCAAAATTGTAATTTCCTTTCCCACTGAAATGAAAATATAAATTCCAGTTTTCATGGAAGCTATTATTCAACATCTTAATTTGTTATTAAGCACTTCAAAATCAATGTTTGATCTTTTTTCCTCAATAATAAATTGAGTCCATCAAAAGCAGAGTGTGAAAATTATTTTGCTAAAGAAGTGTACGACAGAGAAATCAGGAGGGGTAATTTACGTTAATCTCTCTTTTCATATTTTCATCTCAAATTTTTGGATTTGTGTTGGATTAACATTTGTCTTGATTGTTTCCCTATACACAGATGGTCAAAGAAATAGGATCAAACAAACAAATAATGATTGCTCCAACTACCTGAGATTTTCAATGGTTTGACGTGTTAAGCGAACCAAATTCAAGTACCTTGTCGGCAAAACGAGCTCAACTGCTCAAGCCTAATACAATAAGGCTAAATTGGATTAATGTTTCCGTGGTGATAAGGTAATCAGAAGATAGCTCTCGTGGTGAAAAATTAGGAATCAAACCCTCATGGTGAAGTCCATTAGGATTCAAGCCCAATATTAACATTTTCGCCAATTATCCGTTAACATGTTCAGCCTTCATAACTAAAAAGGATGTGGCCGCTAAATTGCGTGGGGATGTTTGCCCAGGTTGATACTCAGATGCAGATAAGGAGTTCAATATTGCAATCAAACATCTTTGAAAGTATTGCATAGAGCCATAGTGAAGCAATTCTATCAATTAGTAAGGGTAGCCGGACTGCTTCTAATATATTGGCATAAAATGAGACTAGGCTTCCTGATACTGGTGTCGATCGAGCAGTTGCCTAGGGGCAGGTTTCACGATCTTTCAGTTCACAAGCTTCTGCTTCAAGGACAAAATTACCTCAAGTTAAACCAGCTGAAAAGGAGATGATCAAGTGAACATTAAACCGAAATTAGATATCAACTTTGTGATTTAAAGCATAACCAAAAGGGAAAAAAACTCATTCATCCAAGGTTAAGAATTCTTTGCTCCATTCTTCGATTCCATTCAAAGCTCTTTTGTCTATCTGATGGAACCACTAGATTTCCTTAATGCAGCAGTAGCCATCCCAGTAACATTGATAATAAATTTGGAGGAAGTGATAGTGATTTGCTTGCCCAATCAATGGAATGTCCGGTAATTTCCTCCAATGCTTCAATTAGCTATCTAGAAAAAAGATAGGGTGGGGTGGGAATTGTCGATGCAAATTTCCGCCGTCTTCAGTCTTGACGAAAATGCACGTGCAAAACAATCAACACATTTGATCAAAGACCTAAGCCTCATGCACCCACGAGGTGGGGGGGGGGTTAGGTCAACGGATCTCCCATGCCCAAGTTAGTTTCTCTGAGAGAGTAAAGTGTTTAGGGCTTTTTTAGGGTTACAAAAGCTCTCCAAATTTGGTAGAATATGAGGTATTTAAAGGGCTAGGGCCGGCCATACAGTGTTTAATGGAGAGATATTCTCTAAATATTCCCAAGATATTAAATAGGAAATAATATCTTGAGATAATAGTCTAATTATCCTAATTTAAATAAATTAGGATTACTTACTTGATTGGAGTTATTCTTCAAGTAGGAATGTATTAAAGATAGGATTTGGGTAATTAATCCTTATCTTTAATTCCTTGCCAAGGGTAGGTGAGCTATGGACAATTGTGTTCAGCTGCTCAGTCCTTTAGGGATGTGAGCTGCGCGTAGGAGCATCTGAGAAGCCTGCCCATTTATTGAGGGCAATCTTGTCCTTCTGAAATAAATGTCTACTTGTCACCTCTAGAATATTTAGGATTACTTTAGGCTCCACAAATGCACCCACACCTACTATGTTACATGCAGGAAAATGATAGTAGGTGTAGGAATCTCAAGTTGCTTAGGCTTGTAGAATTGCTTCCCAGTTTGAACTTGATCCTCTTTCTTGATTTGGCGGGGACTATGGGTGTGGGTAACACACGGCATAGGAGCCTCAAGGCTGCATGATCGCACGACATGGGTCTGCTGACATGGGCCAGGTGGGCGGCTCATCTCAAGCTGCTTAGGCTTGTAGAATTGCTTCCCAGTTTGAACTTGATCCTCTTTCTTGATTTGGCGGGGATCGTGGGTGTGGGTAACACACGGCATAGGAGCCTCAGGGCTGCATGATCGCATGGCATGGGTCTGCTGACATGGGCCAGGTGGACAGCTCGGTTTGGGCCAAGGGGATCGACACGGTGGGGCGCGGGGAAACCGGCTAGGGTCGGGTCTTCAAGGCTGCTGGTCACGGGCCTGTGTAGGCGAGAAGAAAGGGAGAGAGACCGGCATATCTAGCTCTATTGGGTGCATGACCAGCTCTCTTGGGCCTACCTTAGGGTGTACTGGGAGCAGAAGAAAAAGAGGAAGGAGGTGCGGGCCTCCCCCATGCTGCATCTTTTCCAAGAGGTGATCTGCTCCATGAAATGCACGCCTGCTCAGTGTTCCCCAAATGCAGTTCGTGCAATAGTGGGGTTCTCGAACTTGAGCAGGTTCTTTGATCTTGACTTGACCATAAATGTGTTATGGTACTTCTTTGAGATTGGCCACAAGGAAGGTGTAGGGCAGCTAAGGTCTTGCCATAGGCTGCTCGATGCTTCTAGCAAAGGTAACCATGAGTAGGCGAGAGATACCTTAGAGGTAAGCAGAGAGTGGGAGTCTGACTCTTCTCTTGAGCTGCGTGTCCCGACTACCTTTATCAATGATAAGTGAACTGTTTCCTTCTTGTCCTGCTTGAATTTTTGTTGAGCTGCTCCATGACTTCAATTTATTGATTGTCTTTCTTACTTTGCGTAAATTCAGAGTTTGGCTTAACTTCAAGGACTTCGGCAGTTATAAAGAAAGTGCACGTCACCTTGGTCATTCCTGCTGAGTGTCGTGAGTGGCGCTGGCTGCTCAGCCCTCTTCATCTGGAAAAGGGTGGCCTGCCCCCGAGGGAAGAGATAAAGCAGATAAAAGATGAGGCGTTAGCTTGCCTGATCGCTGTTGTAGAACCTGCTACCAATGGTGGTGGAAAGAAAAGGTATTCTTCACCTGCTTGTAAGCCTTCGGTTGAGAAGAAGCGAAAGACTTCTTCTGTTACTCGTGGGAGCTCGTGTGTTTCCGAGAAGATTGTCATTGATCTAACTTCCTCTAAGAGAGCGAAGATGACCGTTGAGCCTAAGCCTATGAAACCTACTGCTCCGAAAGTGACCGTATCCATTGCTAAGAGACTTGCCCTGCGGAAGGGTTCGGTGACACTTTTGGTGTCCGGGTTTGTATCAAAGTGTTTGTCGGGAGCTAAGTCTGGATCGACTTCTAAGAGGTTCGCCGCTATGAAGAGCGAGAAGGTAGATTATGCTGTTAAGGTGGCGTTTGGGCCTATTTCTCTTTCTGCCATGACTGATTCGTCTGCTGAGAAGGGAAAATCAGCTCACACAGGCAGTTGTGAGAGATCCACTGAGTCTGAGGCATGAGAGTTTCCCAAGGTTTATGTTCTGCTGAAGGTTGACCTGCTTGAGAACGTTGATGCATGTGCTAAGTTTGTTGACAATGCATAAGACTTTGATCCTGACAGCTGAGTCTATACGCGTTGATCAGGATGTTGTCAAGTGTGTTAAGGAGGCCGAAGTGGCATTGGTGGCTCTCCCCTCAAACTCATTTACGAAGCATCTTGCCTATTCGAAGAGGTCTTCCTTTTTTGCTACAATGCATAAGACTTTGATCCTGGCAGCTGAGTCTATGTGCGTTGATCAGGATGTTGTCAAGTGTGCTAAGGAGGCTGAAGTGGTATTGGTGGCACAGCTTCGCTCAGCTACTGAAAAAATCGATAAGCTTAAATATGAAATCGTTGTTATGAAGGGGTCTGATGTCTTTACCCCCACTTCTTTGTAGCTGGAAATCGCTCATGAGGAGGTCGCCCATTTGAATGCTAGGCTTAAAGAAGGAAGTCAGTCGTGTTTCTCCGATGGTCGAGGACCTTGAGCATGTCAATTCGGAGCTATGATCTGCTTGTTTTACCAAGGACGATGAGCTTATCTTCATGCATGCTAAAGTGTTTCGTCTCAAAGAGGTTGCTAGTAAGCTTGAGTCTAAGGAAGTGGATCTGCAAGTGCACTGTCTGCTAGCGAGAACTTGAAAAAGGAACCGGATGAGCTGCATGGTGCTCACACTAGGCTTGTTGAGGAGATTGTAAAGCTGAAGAATGAGAAAGCTGGTCACGAAGTGGCGCTTGATTCTTATTAGGCCGATTTCTACAAGGTTGGCTATGTAGACCATCTTCAGGGCAGGCCGTCGGATTATCAATTTTTCGAGAATGACTTCGAGACTTTTTCCATTTATCCAGTTGATCTGCTTAATTTCTGGTTTAAGGCTACCTTTGGTGGAGTAGTTGAGGGCCAGGCAGTCCAGGCAGAGACGTCTAAGGATGAGCTGATGGAAGTTTTGGCTGCTGAAGGCATGGCAGTCGAGGAACCAGTGGTTGCGCAGGTTGCCAAGGAGTAGCCTTTTTACTTAGACTTAGGAATTTTTTTCTTTTCCTTTTTGTTCTGCTTTGCTTAAACTTTGTTGGCCTTTGAGTCGGTTTATCAATTTGCTATAAATTTAATAAACAACTTTCCATGTTTTTGCTTCATCCTTTTATTTTGCCATGTCTTTTGCGAAACTTTACCGTATGACGGGTGGCTGGGTGAGCTGCTTCAATGAAGCAGTTAATCCCACGTTGTCACTTAGGTTTTAGTTTCAGCTTCGGGGCTTTGGGAGCCTTACCTGCTTGAGGCGTCTTGCAAAACTTTACCATAGGATGGGCAGTTGAGTTGGCTACTTCGATGAAGCAATTAAGGGATTTCCAACTTATAGAGCCAACGGCCGAACTTGTTGTCTCCAAATGAGGTAGGCGACTTCGCGTAGCTATTATAGCTGTGAATCTCGGCTTTAGGTAGTTTCATGAGCTTTAGCCCTCTTGGGGCATGCTGTGAAATTTGACTTATAGAGCCATCGGCTGGACTCGTGCTTCTCGTAGGAAGCAGAGGAGGTCCGTGTAGCTACTATAGTCGTGACACTCGACTTTAGTGG